TTCTTTATTTTGTAAACTTATTTTTAAATATGAAATTCGTGTTTTATAGTATCCTTCTCATGAATTTTGAGAGCCTTTATTATCCTTCTCCCTACTTTGAGATATGGTTTTGTGAAGAATTGATTTTATTTTATAAGATTTTAAATGTCAATAATTTGTGATGATTTGAACTCCTGTCTTCATTTACTTTTCGATCTGATCAATTGAAATGTTAAAATGTGTTGAGAAACATATGTTCCGAAAGGGCTATGATTTCTACAACATGGGGAGAATCACATTTGATTTCATGAGAGAGTATGTCATCCATGGAATTGAGTGCAAATAAATAAGATAATATACTTTATTGGATGTAAAATTGAAGATTTTAAGGTGATAGATTAAAATCCCTAATTTGGTCCAATTTATTGGAAACTGATGTGAGATTGTTAGCCCTCAAGTGAGCGAGTAGTGGGAGCTCTGGAGTGGTAGTCGGTATCCTCCCAGCCTAACCACGGAATTAGGGAGCAAACTCTAGATTATTCAATGTTCTTTATAGCACTCAGAAGAGGGTAAAGAATAGGATTGCTCCTATTTAGCACAAAACAATTTTTCTATATTTTTAAAAGCTTTTAATTTCTTCACAATCCATATGCTCATTGTAAAGGGGAATGAGGTTTTCTTAAATTTGAACTCTTCGTCACAAGACTTTGTTTAGTCTTAATAAATTTAATTTTAAAGTTTAGTAAATAGTTTAGTAAACTTAGTTCTTTTAGTTACATTTCTAGTAGCATTCATTAAACCTATTTTAATTTGTCTTTCTTACTTTAATTTTTATAGTTTGAATATTGTGATTTATATTATTATCATAAAAATTTTCATCTTCCAAATTAAAACTTCATAGTAGTATACTAGAATTAGCTTAAAGGATTTCTCACTGCGCTTCTCTGTGGGATCGATACTAGGATTTTTAAAGAAAACCTTATATTACTTGAAGTGATACGTGCACTTGCGTAGAACCACTAGTGTGTGAACTATTTTATATATTTTATAACATTTTGATTTTAACCGCCTAATACAAATTGGGTCAAGATTTTGATCATATTTTTGAAAACTAAATTACTGCGTAATTTTGGGACATGTCAAGTTTTTGACACTGTCACCGGGATTTAACTTAAAATAAAACATGCAGAAAAATAACACACACTAGGGGCGCATCAATAGACCACACATTCGAGGGATTCAATCGACTGACAGCGATTACAGGCCCAACTACCCAAGTTTCTTTCAGGGGCGCCCGATCACAACTAAACCTACCAACTTTGCCTCGGCCAAGCGATCGCCACACAACCGGTCACCCTAATAGACCGAATTAAATGCATCGATCTATTAATGACCGCTGCTTTACACTTAAATGATAACACGATTCTTGTATTAAATTAGCACATTAATTGCGTTAAGGGTGATTTCTATAATGACTCTCCTTTCAGAAATTAAGTGTGATTTTCATAATCATTCATTCATTTCTGTAATTGTACAAATATGTCTTTATAATTAGAGGGCAAAAAAATGAATAAAAAGACATTTTCCCTCGACTCCTCTCTCAAAAATTCCATCAGCTCCTCTCCCTCCTACTATCTTTCCCCCGACTCCACCTCTCAAGCTGTATTTTATTTGATGGACAATTTATGCTTCAACAATGCATAAGAATTGAGTTGTATGTATGTAAATTTTCCTTATTTTTTTTTAAAATATTTATTATTATGTATTATTTTTATTCTTTTCTCAATGAATAATATCAACCGAATAAATTTAAAATATTGTGCTAGAATGTCCTGATGCAGGGCTGACATGTCAGTGTTTTTAAACAGATGAACAAAAAAAAAAATCATTTAATGTTGTGGACCACGTACCCATGGGCTCGTTGAAGCTCTTCCATTTATTGTAGAAGTTGTAAGCAAGATGGAAACGTCAACGCTAGTCTTTACATGCAAACAACGAACTGGATGACTGTGACTTGAACTTGAGCCCATAACCATTTAATAATTTAACATTTACTTTCTTGGAAATATAAAAGTAGATTTACTTACCACTAAGTTATTATATATTTATATACTTATCATCCAATATTCACTTATTTTGATAGCCAAATCCGGCCACCTCAGGCCCATTGTTCCTAACCAACTCTGGCTGATGTCGCCTTCAACCAACTATGACAGCCACCAACCGTCCACCGTCAACCATCGGCCGCCACCCACTTCCTACCATGAGTTAACAAATTATTGTACACACAAACATTGTAATTTGAGAAACTGTATAGCTCTTTCTTGCATGTGAGACAAAGAGTTGTATCTGTGTTCATTTATAACTTTTTTCATTTTTGTACTTTTCCACGTAAAAAACTTATGGTATCTTATCGCTTATCTGCTTTCATCCGAATGCGTGTTAGATTCTTGTACAATGCTAAAACAACAATTCACTACTCTACCGTGACAACCTTTCCAACACCAATAATTTTTTTATGAAAAAAAATTTTCACTTTTATCATAAAAATAGTAATATTTTTAAGATTATATGAAAATTTTGGATGATATAAATATAAAAAGCAAACACAATCACATCAAGTATGCAATGTCCGAAGCCCTTCTAGCTGAAAGGGTAAGCTCTTAACGAATAAAGTGAGATGGCTTGAATGATTCTTGTGTTGGTACTAAAAAATAACACCGTTTTCCTCAAATTACTGTAACAGAGGTTTAAGGTTTCTTCACCATAAGATTAATGCTACCACTTCCTATGGTTCCTATAAGAAGAGGAGTGGCAAAAGTAAAAATCTAGGGCTGACTATTATTTAAATTTAAAACTTTTATTTCCTTCATTTTTTTTTTTAATAGCCATTATAAATATGATTATTTAGAGAAAAATATATGTAATATTAAATTATTATTAAACATTTAAATTTATCGGAGAATTTTTTATACTGTGTTATATGATTTTAAAATATTTGAAAGAAAATAAATAAATAAATAATAATTACAACTTCCTTATTTTTTCGTCAACCCAATAAAATAAAGTTAATAATAAAAGAAGAGAAACAAAATATCTACGGCGCTACTGTTTCTAAAATATCAAAATAAAATAAAAATAAATATCAGCGAACAAATAGCATTGCTACGAGGAAGCATCAACAGTGGCATTTTGAAGCATTGAAAGCTTGACGCGCAAAAAAGCAAGTGGGCAGCGCACGAGACATTGACTTCGTAATGGATCAATGGTTACTAATATCTGGTGGAATGTTTTGGCTTATCAATAGCTATCTCAAGATAACAACAAAGAGTTTGTTAACTGCCGTGATCAGGAATTGAGCTGTGCATGGGCTGTACTTGAAAATTACATTCTATTATGTAGCAACGGCGAACCAAAATAGTTGGAATGTAATAAATTGAATATAATATTTATTTAAACACGAATATGGCATTAAACTCTAGTACAACGATACCAAACCTTTTATCATATTAAGTGGGGTCGGCTGCATGAATTCTTTTTCTCCATTGCGTTCTCTTTAGTGTCATATTTCATTTATTTCTAATAAATTAAGATTATTTTTTATACAATATGCCGAAGTCTTTCTAGGCTTACCAATGCCTTTCTTAACATAAGTCGAATTTAAAACAACTATTCACCTAATCGGATCATCAGATGGTCGACGTTTAATGTGATCAAACCAACTAAAACGACTCTCTCTCCCTGTCACTGGAGCTACACGAACCCTATCACGGATATATTCATTTCACATTCTGTCTCTATGTGAAAGCCACTTATCCACCTAATCATTCTCATCTTGGCAGCACCTCACTTAGTTTTATGCTTCTCTTTTAAAGACCAGTATTTAGCGTTATAGAGCATTGTAGCTCTTATCACCATTTTATAAAATTTTCCTTTCAGTCTAAGCAGTACTTTTCTATCACAAAATAGGCCCGAAGCATTCCTCCACTTCAAGCAATCAACTTGAATTCTACTAATAACATCCCCATCTATATCACCATCACTTTGAACAATAGACTGAGATATCTAAAGCATTCACACTTTTTAATAATTTGATCACCTATAATAACAATTCTGACGCTTGAGCTACTACTACTAAAATTACATTTCATGTATTCAGTTGAAGCTTTAAACTCTAATGAACAATTAAAATAGAGCAAATAATCAAATGAAATGTAATAAACATAATTGGATGAATTGTGCAAAATGGACTTGAATTTCAACCAAGAGGCTTTGAGTTCAAGACCTTCAACATTTTGTGTGCGTGCACTTGAATATGTGAGTAAATAAAATAAAGAAACAGATAAAAATGACAAAATGATCCATTGAATTTTATTCAATCATTTTAATCCTATAATATATAAAAAGTCAATACAATCCTTAAAACTCTGTGCTGAAATTACTTTTTGGGCTCTGACTAAAAGAATAGGAATCAATTTGGCATTTTTACTTCTAAAAACTAAAATGTCCCCAGCTTAAAAATAAAAAAGCTATTTTGACATTTTATTCTTAGAAATTAGTATAATAAATACACTTCCTTTTATCATGAAATTCATGGGATATGATTTATTACATTTTTCAAGCTCTCATCAGTTACATATATAAATGAAGATAGCTTTATGGAAATGAATTTATGCACTTATCAATCAAATTGGCACCCATTGTAGTAAATATTTGAAGTTATTTACATATCTAACACCTAAACTTTGCTTTTTATATTTATATCACCCGAGTCTTTCATAGAACATAAAAAATATCACCACTTTAAATGCACATGTAAGGTGGCATGTACATAGAAATTCATGTTTAGGTGTCAGATATGCAAGTAAACATAGGAATTCAGTGATATAGATGTAAATCTTTCAAATTAAAAATGTTCAAGAGCATGATTAATTATCATATGACGGATCATTTAACCATACAAACAAGAATAAGAAACTATAAACTTGCGATCAATCATATCATGATTCATAATGTACAGTATCATAAAATTAGTAAATTGGAAAAGGACCAAAAAGAAACAATAACAATCGACTTTCTTTTTGGCTATTGATTGACTTTTGGGATCAATTATCAATACAAACATTGAAATAGTCATTAGAAACCCAGCAAATAGTCTCAAAATTGAATATAACCGCGCAGAAGAGGACAAAGAATGCAGAACAGACCCAAAAATATCTGATTTTTATTTGATAGAGTAATCATCCAAAAACCCAAGCATTGTAAGACCATCTAATCAGCTCTCCACAGTGGATACTGTGCCTTCTGAGAAGATTGTAGAGACCAAATCTCAAAAACTGGATGAGGAAAACCAAATCTCAAAAATCAAGCTGTATCTATACTTGGCATCTATATCATACAGTAATGAGAAAAATAGAAGAAATATTTGCTCTGTTAATAGAGAGGAATTCGGAAGACCATGAAGCCAAGCAATCATCTGCCTGCTTTCATTTGAAGCTTACCCAAACCAGTCTCCAAGTTCTCAACACCTTTAGTTTCAACCATGAAGCTTTGGCCACTGTTACTAAGCCATGGATGTTGCAGGCACTGCTCTGCCGTTGGCCTCTTCTCCGGTGTAAAATCTAGAAGCGGCGTGAGGAAATCAGAGAGCTCGCAAGCATCAGATTCGACAAACATATATTTGTCGATCAAAAGCCTATCAATGGGCCAGTGTTTCAGTCTACGGATTCGTTTCAAATCTCCATATCTGTCGAAGAAATCCTTTGATCGAGATCCTGTAATAGCAATCTGATCTCAAAGTTGTCAGAATCATTATTTCAGGGATTGGGAGAGAATAAAGAATCAGAAAATAGTTCAACCTTCTTAGGCATTTTTCCGAGGAGTTCCATCATCTGAGCCAAGTGATCCTGAAAGGAGGTAGAAGAGATGTGAAATGGATAGAAACTAGCCTTCGGGTGAACAGATTGGTATAAATCAAAATTCACATGTCAAAATAAACAAATTACCGAATTTATAAAGAGCATTAACTATACATTGGATGTGAATGATAATGCCGAAAAAATTATGTCAAAGAAGAGGCCAAAAAACGGCCAAAGTTTCTTCCACAAATATAAACATTTTCTTCTAGGAAGAATTACATACCACTTAATTCTTATGTAGTTACATACCTAACACATAAACATCATTTTTTACAAAAATGCCACCTTACATAAGCCGGAAAGGATGTATTTTACTTTTAAAAAGTTAAGATAGTAATATTTAATGTGATAAGAAAGATTTGGGTGATATGTAAAAAGTAGGGTCTTAAGTGTTAGATATGTATATGCATAGAAATTGGGTGGTATAAGTGCCCCTTTCCTCTAACTTCACTAAACTTCCGGCTAAAATAAGCTCATTAGACCGTCCCATGGTCATTGAACAGGCTATACCTACAAAAACCCAACCAATCATATTTCACTTTTGAAGAAGTTCTGAAGCCTGAGAAAATCCACATTAGTGCCACTCAAATTTCTTTCAGGACTATATCATAGAATGCTTTAAAGCATGAAATTGCAGGCTTCAAAAGCGAATTTTAAAAGAGATAATTACAAGCATAACACTCAAAATTATACTACTCACAAAACAAGTACCCATGTCATATTTTGAACTACCAAATCGATGCATCTATGTGTGTCATCATCAAACTACTGGGAATTCAATAAAAATGATAACTATGGGTTGGGGATTTATTGTGAATTTTGATATTTGAGGGAGAATTTGAAAAACAGATAAAAGAGAGGGCTAGTTCTGGAAATAGCAAAGTTTCAAGTGCTACATATATAATTGCCCCATTCTAAAAACAGACCACTCTACAATAGCCTCAACCTTATCAAAATTAACATGCATATCTAGAACAACATAGCCCATAAACAATACCTTAGCTTATGGTACGTTTGTAATAACTGAACTTTAAATTAAAAAAATAATAATATTATTATCATTAATATTGAATAGTCATAAGGATAAGCATCTCCTTGTTTCGACTTAATACTAGTATATCCCTATTTAAATCAACAACATAGCAAAAGAGAGAGAGAGAGCAGAGAGATCAAGAGTGAAAGGCAATGAGGAGAAGATAGTGACCTTGAGCCGAGTGACTTGTCTTCGAGTGAAGGAAGACGAGGAAGGAGGAGGAAGTCATCATTCGTGTTTGCGGGAGACGACGTCGTTCCCTAATCAAAGGAAGGAGAGAAAGGAGGACGAGGATGCAGTGTCAAGTGAGAATAAAGGGAAACTGAGCCTTATGTGAAAAAGAAGAGGAAAAAAAGGAAGCCGACTCGTCGTGCGGGTTGAAATTGAGCCACTCTCGAAGAGGGCTACAAATTTTCTATGCAAAGAAGTAGAAGAAAAGACAAAGATGCAGAGGAGGGGGTCGGCCCGTGCGGGACGAAGCTCTCGTTCGAGAGTTAGGTGGCCAAAGTAATTTTAGGTATGTTACGATTTAATTATATTTCAACTAATTAAAAGGTGGAGAAACAACATCGTTACAAGGTGACCGGCACACCTTACAAATAGAGTTCAACTCCAGGATCAAGCAACAAGAGTACACTCAGTGGAGCATCCAAGCCAACCCCATCAGAGGAGAAATCAATTCAAAGTGGAGAAAAAGTTGAGCTCACTAGCATTAAAAAATCTATCACCATCAGTAAATGCTTTAAGTGTCGAGAATTTGGCCAAGTGGCGTCTAATTGCCCAAATATGAGAGCGATCTCTTTCACTAACCAGTAAGCAGTTGAAGATGTTGACAATGACATAGGAGAGCATGAAAACGTCAGAGACAAGCCAAAAGTTTCAGCCGCCAGAAAAAGATATGCTAGTGATTCAAGTTGAGTCCAAAATAGAAATCACAACAAGATTAACATTGATTATCCTAAAAGATACTGAGTATGAACATCCAGTTCCAGAAGAGGGATAGCCCTTATTGAGATAATTTTCGGATATCATGACTGCCATCTTATCTCATGGATGATTACCACCATAAGAGATTCAACATGTCATATTTCTAATACTTGAATGATCGCATCTCATTCTTTTTTTCTAGTAAACCATCTTGCTTTTGAGATGCGACCATTCAAGTATGAGAAATTGCAAAAACACGTTACACACCTGATAGTTAGAGACCTAGTTCATGAAAATACTAGCTTAAATGCAGCTTTGGCTCTAATTATGCCAAAAAAAATGATGGTTATTTATTTCATAAAAAAAAAAACATTGGAAGGACGTATGTGTTTCAGAGTTGTCTTGGGTAGATGTGAGCATAGACTTCATAGTGGGGCTCTAGTAGCTACAACAATGCAATAACTTAGTTATGGTGGTAGGTCGATTCCAAAAATGTCCTTTAAAGAAGGCGTAGCTTTTCCTACCCAGGGTAAATGACACAAGAGCAGCTGCTAAAGTCACGGAATCGAGGATCACGTGACTCCCGATAATAGGATTTGCGTGATTGGAATCGTGAAAATAGGAGTTTTGCAACCATGGGAAGATATAATAAGAAATTTTCATCTAGCTAGAAATATCTGAATGAGTCTTTCCTATAATTTATTTCTTTATTCTTTTTCTCCTAATTTGGGTTTTTTTTTATTAGGAACCTACTTGTGTTGTTTTTTTCATGTTGGAGAGACTTTGCTTTGTTTGTGAGTTATGGAGATTGGAATCTCTGATTTCTACCATAATTGAGTGTTATATCATTTTTCTTTTGCAAGTGATGCATCTGTATCTTGCTTAGAAATAGGTGGTGAAACTTCCTCTACCTTATCGATAAACCGTTGAACAGTTGTTTTTCAGCCGAGATAGCCACCGCCGACGCCTACACCTTCAAAATGCTATCGACCTCACATATTTTGTTTCCTCGCTATTCCACAACTACCTCACCACAAAAATCTACTTCACAAATACCTTTTAGGAGCCCTTGAACGGTATCAGGGGGATGGGTTTGGAGATAGTCTAGTAAAATGTTGGACAATCTAATAGTTGAGAGGGCATACAATTGATGTGAAATATGTAGTCAACATAACATTCCACCAAAAATATTTTGCAGCATTTGAGAGCATGGTTAATTGAGCTACTGATCAATGTCAACGTTTCTTTTTTACAACATTTTTTTCTTGTGTTTTCAGCATCTATGCACTAATGGACAATCCCTTGATCAAACTAGTTGGACCCAAATAGACTGATAGTACTCACACCCCTTGTCAATCCAAGCACATGGATTTAGCTTGAAATTAAGTTTGAACCACTTTATTTAAATTTATAAATTTTATACAAACTTTAGATTTATCTTACTTATGGAATAACCACATAGCTCTTAAGTCAATGATTTTGTTAGCCTTAGATAATCGTCATACATCATTATGGATGAAAAAAATGACGGTTGGTTTGTATAGGTGCTTTGAGAAAGAGTCAAGTGTATGTTTAGATAACTAGCAAGCTTCATATTGATAAGATCACAATTTTATTTCCAAAGAAATTCAAAAATATTCTTAGAAACAAAAAATTAGTAAGAGCCCAGCAATAGCATTCTAACGTCATAGCATTTGAATTATTCATGCTAGAAGATGAAACTACACATTCCTTTTTTTCATGATTTCCACATAGGTTGTTTTCTTAGATAGAAACTAACAAGCATCTTAGTATATTATCAATCTTCATATTTGAATCTAAGCGTTGAAATTCACATCATGACTTTGGGTTGAAGTGTATAATTAGGTTCATTGTAATTTTGCTAAAGGAAAGAATGTTACAAAACCAATTTTGGAACATGAAACACATGTTTAAGGACACTGTCCACTAAAAGTATGACAGCTCTAACGCCAGAAATAGTAAAAAGGGCTCCTTCTACGGTTTAAGGAGTAAGATTCTAAAGTATGAATTATGCTCATGAAAAATCATAGCATCATTATTAGTTCAGAGGTTAGAAGCACCTAACTCAACAATACATAGTTGCTTTCCTGATATAACAATGAGAGCATTCAAAGAATCACCATTTTCAGCTATTGAAGTTGAGCTCATCATTGGATCAAGTATTATATGGAGCTTGTTGACACATTGGCGGATGTTGAAGAATTTTTTAAGGAATTCAATTTACTCTTTGTTGATAGAGTGTCAATAGTGACTGTGTCACCATACATTTAAGGATTTCATGTTATCCTTGATCAGCAGTCAAGGGTTTCTCATGTATCATCAAGAATTTGTCACGGAGTGCGTCCAATTTTATGACAGTGTGAACACCACAAGCTGGTCATCCTCATGTATCTATAAACCCCCATTCAAGTAAATATGCAAGGGAAAAGTTATCATTGCCAGAGTTACAAGCACACTTGGGCATCACCAATATTTTTTCTCCTGCTTTCTTCTCTTTAAACCTCAACAAAGGCTTCAAAGAGGCTAGATAGGGGCTCCATGCTTAAGATTGTCCCACAAACATCATTCAAATCTTTATTAAGAAAAAGTAAGAACTTGTGCACTCTTCTCGTTTCACAACCTTCTTATCTTGCTAGTTGTCTCCAGAGCACCTCCATCCTACTCTATCAAAATCAGTGGGTGTCAAAAGCCAATTTTAGAGTAGAAATATACTATAATGATATCATCATCTAACCATAGCTTATGGAAAACACACTTGATCTAAAATATAGTGGAGATATTGTCGATAATATAGTAGGTCGTTTTGCTGCATTTCAAAATTTTGTAGTACACGATTTTTTTTTTCAATTTCATTTGTTATAGAATTTACCAGCCATAAAATCATCATAAAGATTTTCTCCTGACATGACCAAAACTAAGGGTCTTTCTCATGAAGTGTATACACCACTCCTGCGAGATAATCATCCTCATCGTTCCCACAAACAAATAGCATATACTAACTGAGACA